GCTGCTGCTGCTGCTGCTGCTCTTTGTTTGTTTGTTTGTTTCATGTGTAGTCCTTATATTGGGAAACCAAAGGTTTATGCTCAATGTAAGTACAAGAGGACTTTTAACGAAAATGTGTTTATTGAAATAAGTTTGATATTTTCATAAGATTTGGGGAAGTTTGATAAGAACATGGATGGTGTTTTGTTGTGTTGTAGAAGGACTTTATCTTACTTACTTACTTTTAGAGCTGTTATGGGATGGATTACGGACAATGGAATGGAGGGTCGCTCACCAAATGCTCTATCTCCTTTGATGTTGGACTTCTACATGGGCCTTAAAGACTAGGATCATGTAACCACTTTACACCGACTTCAATTGATCATCTGAAGCTGTAGCCTGGGAAACAACACCTTTTGGACTTAAGCTGCTCACTTGGTGAGATCAGTCCTTTGTTTCCTTCAAGCAGAGACTTAAACCTTGATTCAGACTCACAGACAGTTCTTACTCAAAAGACTACACAAATATAACCCTGGATGATACCTGTTTGTGTGTTTTGTAAATATTATGGGTGTAAATACATACTTTGTGCACACAGTATAAGGCTGTGGTTCCATTCTGTGCAAAGTTACAAGCTGCTGGATAAGAGTCCTCTTCAGATAAAGTAATCAGACCCTTTTTCAAAGAGGTTTTTTACAGAGTGGTGCCCGAACAGGGACCTAGCTAACATCTTGTGTGTATTTACACCCAATTATAGTAATAATATACAGCTTGGTTGTCATATTGGTAATTTGGGATTGATTTTTATACAATCATGGCAGAGTATCAGCAAGGCATAATGGGTGATCCTGAACCACATCTAGATTTTACTGCAGGACCATTTGTTACATGCAGAGAACCCACAGAGCACCTTAGTGAACTAATGCAGACTTTCAGTCAAATGTATTTAGACGAACAGTCTTTTCAGGAGGCAGAAGAATAAGATGTAGGCATAGTAGAAGGTATAGAAGAGGAAGAGAATTTACCACCAGTAAACAAATCAGCTACTGATATCCCTGAAAGAATACAAGCATTAGAAGCTAATGTAACAACTTTAGAAACCAAACTAACTCAAATGGAGGTTAAAGTAATTGAATGGTGTTCAGAATTAGAAGGTTGGGTCAAAGCAGCACAGGAGAACGGCAGTATCTCCTGGAAAGGGAATGTAATAAAGTAAAGAGCTTGCTAGAGTTAAATATAAAAGATCTGGGACAGGCAATGGTCGACTGTTTGAAGCGTAGAGATAGACAGATTGAGTCCATGCTTCAAGTCCATGCCACTGCTACTTCTACACCAAAAGCAGGAAACTGGCCACAGCTAGTTAGCCGTTGTGAGAATGTGTCTGTACTCCCAAGTAAACCACCTATTCGCATAGTTTCCACGTTTTCGCGGACAAGGAAAAGAGCAATATCCAGTATCCTACATCGAAAAATATGAGGAATTCTTAGCTCTACGTCCATTGTCTGATTCTGAAATTCTTGCAACTCTAACATCAGTGTTAACTGGAACTGCAAAGGATTGGTGGTTGGCTGAAAGGAAAGCAGTAAAAACCTGGGCACAATTCAAAACATCTCTTTTGTGCTCTCTTCTTTCAGAAGACTACGAAGCTGAAGCAGAAAGAAGGATTTTAGAAAGAAAGCAAGGAATACATGAAAGCATTCGGGACTTTGCCTACCAGTACAGAGTGTTATGTATTCGCTGGAAGAAAGGAACGACGGAAAGGGAAATACTGCAAGGTATGCTTAGGAACTATGGAGTTTTGCGCTTCTGTGTAGATTATCATGATCTTAACACTAAAACCCATCTTGATGCTTATCCCATGCTTCAGATTCATGAAATCCTTGAGTCATTACATGGTGCCACCATCTTCAGTACCCTTGACTTGCAAAGTGGATATTGGCAAGTAAGTGTTGATTCTCAGAGCATCCCTAAGACTGCATTCATCACAAGCAATGGGTTATATGAATTTTTGCATTTGCCTTTTGGATTAAAAAATTCTGTGGCTACATTCCAGCGGCTGATGGAAGTGGTACTTTGAGAGGTAATGGACAGAAACTGTTTTGTGTATATTGATGTCGTAATATACTCACCCACCAAAGAACAGCATCTGAAAGATCTCGCTGAAGTGTTTGCTTGCCTAGAAAGAGCTGATATAACTTTGAACCTACAGAAGTGTAACATCATGCAGAGAACTTCAAACTTCCTGGGACATGTCATTTCCAGTGATGGGATTGCAACAGATCCAGACAAAGTAAGAGCAGTCTGAATTTCCAGTTCCAAAAAACATAAAAGAAGTTCAAAGATTTCTTGGCTTTGCTGGATGGTACCACCGATACATACCCCACCTATCCTTGATAGCAGCTCCACTTCATGCTTTAAAACACAAAGGGGTAAGATGGCATTGGAGTAATGAATGTCAAGAAGCATTTGAGAAAATCAAAGCAGCTTTGGCGTCAGCACCAGTTCTCACATCTACAGACTTCACCCAACAGCTCAACGTTCGAACAGACGCGGGTGAAAACGGCATTGGAGCTGTTCTGGTCCAGGAAAAGGATGTTGAAGAGAGAGCAATAGCCTATGCTTCTAGGTTGTTCGTGGGAGCAGAAAAATCCTACTCTGTTTCAGAGAAAGAGTGTGTGGCGGTGGTATGGGCAGTCAAAAAATGGAGACCATATCTGGAAGGCACACGCTTCAAAGTAGTCACAGATCATTCTGCCTTGACTTGGGTGTTTAACCACACGAATCCGACGTCTAGACTCACAAGGTGGGCTATTCAATTGCAGTTTTGATCAGGTAGCCCCTGATGCTTTGTCACGCAGCTACGGTGAAGAGAACAGTGTTGGCCAAACTGATCTTGAAGTAAAGGAGTTAATGAAAGAAGCAGAATCTCAAGCTGTGGACAAAGATCGTATCCACTATTCTGTGCAAAATGGGTACCTGTTTCGGTATGTACCTAGGAAGAACGGAGGTCATACCCTGCAACTAGTTATTCCCATCAAACTGAGGAAGGCATATGCACATGACAATCCATTGTGTGAACGTTTAGGGAGACTTAAGACAGTTTTAAGACTTCTTGAAATAGCGTATTGGCCCACAATATGCAAAGATGTCTGGAACCACTGTAAAGAGTGCCTTACTTGTCAAAAGTTCAAGCCCAGAGTGACAAAATTACCTGGTCATCTTCAGTCTACTCCTGTGCTAGAACCCTGTTACATGCTTGGTGTTGATGTTATGGGTCCTTTCCCAAAAAGCCCTAAACAAAATGAGTATTTGTTGGTAATCGTTGACTACTGCAGTGAATGGATCGAAATATTCCCTTTAAAAACCTCCCTTTTGAAGTCTGTAAGCAATGGGGTGTTATCCAGAAGCCTACCATCCTCAGACCAATCTGACAGAACATGTAAACAGAATCTTGAAGCTCATGATATCCTCCTATGTACAAGACCACCATAAAGACTAGGATAAATGGATTGCTGAATTCAGATTTGCTGTCGATACTGCTTGGCAAGAAAGTACAGGGTTCCTGCCGGCCCGAGGTAGCTTTGGGCAGAAAATTGAAAGGGCCAGCAGAGCGATTAGTTCATCAGGCAGTCAGCCCAGAACATGATGCCTATGCTACCTTGGCTAGACATGAGAATTTTATCCAACAAGCACATAAAAATGTAGAGAAGGCACAGTATAAACAAGCCCGCTACTATAATATCAGGCGAAGACAGGACAGTTTTAAAGAGAGTGATCTGGATCAGGGTTCATCCATTGTCAAAAGCTGAAGAAAACTTTTGTGCCAAATTAGCACCGAAATGGAAGGGACCTGCAAGAATCATAAAGTGCCTTGTTGAGGTGAATTACAAAGTTGCCGTGGTTAATGATCCAGATCACTCTGATAATTTCCATGTTGTGAACTTGAAAAATTCTATGTGGACACTCTTCTTTCTGAAGGGGGGAGTGTGTAACCATTGTCCATGGTTACATAGGCTCCATTGAGTTCCATTAAGCATTTCTTAGTGTAATGGTGAACTCTCGCCACAGAGGGCAACCTTGAGACATGACTCAATGGTATTTTTAAGTGAAGAAGTGGAGCATTGTGAGGGTAACCGTGTGTTACAAACAGTGGGGTTGCTGCTGCAGCTGCAATTTGTTTGTTTGTTTCATGTGTAGTCCTTATATTGGGAAACCAAAGGTTTATGCTCAATGTAAGTACAAGAGGACTTTTATACAAACGAAAATGTGTTTATTGAAATAAGTTTGATATTTTCATAAGATTTGGGAAGTTTGATAAGAACATGGATGGTGTTTTGTTGTGTTGTAGAAGGACTTTATCTTACTACCTTTTAGAGCTGTTATGGGATGGATTACGGACAATGGAATGGAGGGTCGCTCACCAAATGCTCTATCTCCTTTGATGTTGGACTTCTACATGGGCCTTAAAGACTAGGATCATCTAACCATTTTACACCAACTTCAATTGATCATCTGAAGCTGTAGCCTGGGAACCAACACCTTTTGGACTCAAGCTGCTCACTTGGTGAGATCAGTCCTTTGTTTCCTTCAAGCAGAGACTTAAATCTTGATTCAGTAGACAGTTCTTACTCAAAAGACTACAATACATACTTTGTGCATGCAGTATAAGGCTGAGGTTCCATTCTGTGCAAAGCTACAAGCTGCTAGATAAGAGTCCCCTTCAACAAAATGCAACATTTCAATCCACAGCTGAGAACAATAAAGTTTGAACAACAAAGTAGAAGTATCACTAAATATAATGAAACACTTAGAGTATTGGGGCATGTTTCTTTCTGAAAAGACCCAGTCCAAGCTCTGAAAGCAAGAGCCAACAGATTAACAAAAAATAAAGATTAATTCTGTTTTTATATTAACAAAAAACAGCTTCATCTATTTAAAATATTAACAGTCAAAATAATAATCATAATACAATCAAAATATCTTTATTGCAGGCAAGGAATCCTACAAATACACAAACTCACCGGATTTCTGGTGCTGGGAGTCCTCTGACAATGCAATCCAGTTGAACCTTGCTGCCCTCAGGCACCTCTCTGCTTTTGAGTTTCTGGACAAAATGTGGGGGTTTACACACTGGCTCTGAACTTTCAGGCCCTGTCAGGACTGGAGCTTCACACTTTATCTCACATATGGGTTCCTGCTTCTCTGTCTCTGTGTTATTTGGCTCCTCTGTGTCCTTGTCATTATGTGAATGGAATTCTAGTGGTTCATTGTGGAGAATTGGTCTTTCTCTATCCTCTGTGTCATGGATGAACGAAGCAGCATCAAATTGATGTTTACTCTGATATCGGCTTCGATGTCCTTTGCAAGCCCTAGGCCGAATTCGTTTCGAACTGTTGGCCTTGAAGAGCGAGGAAAGCTCTTCTATGAAATCCGCTGCCTTATTCAGGAATTCTTTCTTGGACTGGATCTCTAGGCCATATTCAGAGTTCCTTGTAGGTTTTTTTAAGTCTGGAATAGGCTCCCTGGGAGTCCTGATATTCATTAACTTGCTTTCCTGGGTGGGGGACTGGAGCACTTGTCTGTCAGGCATGTTCTCCATCTTTTCGTGACTGGCTTTGATGGTCGGGGCAACGTAGGACACAATTTGCGGACAAACATCTGAACTGTCCTCTTGCTCTTGTGACTCATGGCCAAAGGACTTGCAGGCAAGGTCAACACTCTTATTCAGTTCCTCCTGGCTCAAAAACACAGACAGATCAGGGAACTGAGACTCCACCTGAGAATCCACAGCTTTCCCTTTCAGATTGCCATAGACTACATGATGAGGACAGTCAGAGCAGCCCAATTCAGTGTGTCTATGATGTATACGATGGGTCTCAGCCAAGTAGCTCTCTTGCAAGAACTGTGATACTGATGTTGGCCGGTCCTTTTCATTTTCTTGCATGATGCTAAAGACAAAAAGGTGATTGGGTATGAGTGCATGAATAGCACAGAAAGGATATTTGCACATATTCCATTTTCAAAATGATTTAAATTAACTACAATGTGCAGCTGCACATATACACACATGGTTGATGTCACTGATTCATTTAACAGGAAAAAAGAAAAAACATAAAAAAGCAATCAAAAAAAGAAAAAATAATTCAATAATATATGAAAACAAAATTGCAATAATAAAATAAATTGTGTACTGCAAAACTGAATAAATTCAGTTTTTTGTTGAAAGTAGTTGACTATCATTACAATATATCACTTCACTATAAATGCAAAATACAAAAGTTTACAGAGCTCAAAAAAGTAAGGCAAATAATTGCCTTAATATTTAAACTTATTAAATTAAGTCAGAAGACTATGGCAAGATGATGAGCCCAAAGTGCCACCAGAGATAGGAGTCATAACTTGTTTTTTACTAGTAAATTTGTAATTTTGACTAGGCAAGGCAAGGTAGGGATTAAAGATAGAAGTGCGTAAGTAGTAGGAAAAGTAACTGTATCAATCCCTGGTATACCCGTGTTAGAAAACTTTTAAAAACCTCCAAACAGGTGATAAAGCTGAGGAGAACATTTTAAATGTCATTTCAATCAATAAAATTTAGGAGTTAAGATAAAAGAGAAAAATAAAAAAATAAGTGCTAAGATTAAGTACTGTGAAAATAGGAGTTTATCAAATTATGACATCTAGCTCCTCAGAAAGGCTTTTGCAAAGATAGGAATAAAACATAATTAAAAGAAACAAAACACGCATCTCAAAATAAATGACAACAAAATAACAAGTAAAATGAGGAATTAAAGCAAAGTAAATCGTGCTAAAATAAGTTGCAGTGCTAAACAAGAAAAATTTTAATGGTTGCATTTGGAGCATATCTGACCTCATCTAGGAGTTTGTTCCAGTAAGTGGCAGCATAATGACTGAATGCTGCCTCACCTTGTTTGGTCAAAATATAATTCTGACTAGTGAAAGTAAGAACTATAGATATATGTAATTTATTTGTACTTCTCACAATTGAATTCCAGATATCTTAAGAGTAATTAGACTAGTGTTAAAAGACTAGTGAAAATAAATACTACAAATTTCCATTATGAAACTGTAACTGGCTGATGCTATTTTGTAGGAGTCAATTCACACCACAATCTTATGCTTTCTACTGAAGTCGAGTGGTCTTTATTGTCATTCTTTAATATAACTTGTGTACATTGGAACGAAATGTTCTTCAGACCCTATGGTGCAACACACAACAGCAGCACATTACACAGGACTACACAGAGTGCACATACATGAGTGTGAAATGAGTGCAAAATATAAAATAAATACATCAGACAATAAATATGCAAGACAATAAATAAAGTTGATTTTTGGTTACACAAAACGATAAAAAATTATATAAAAATGGCATTGTATATGCACCAGTCATCCATAACATTTAAACCACCTCCTTATAGCGACTTTCAATGTTTATTTTATTTTTGAATAATATCCACTTACCAGACTGAAGTCCGTCTGTGTCTCTGCATAATTTGTTAGTCCCCCTTTTACCGTATTCCTCAATGGATTGGCATCAAAGCAGAATGAGTATGATGAAGAAACTAATGCAAACATTGTTAACTGTAAACTATACAGAAAACAAAGTTCTCATGAGTCTAATGCATAAAAACTGCTTTCAAAATGGCTGAAGAGTGGAAGGGCTGTTATCACCTGTGTGCTGTATTTTAGTTTATGTTAGGTGTGTGCTTGTGTTTGTGTATTTTACCAGTGTTCCCTTTAACTTGGTTTACTTGAGCTTGTCTTGTGTTGGGGAGTACTTTGGTTTGGTATTTTACCTACACGCTTAACTTTGTTTTACAAGAGATTGATTGATTTGTGCCATCTGGAGTAGGGCTGGTTCATTGATATGGGGAAGGGGAGTAGGACTCGTTCATTGGTAGGGGTATGGGGATGGGGAGACAGGGCTTGTTCATTGGTAGGGGGATGGGGATGGGGAGACCGGGCTTGTTCATTGGTTGGAGTTTGGGAATGAACAGACAGGGCTGATTCATTGGTAGGCAGATGGGGTTGGGGAATAAGGCTCGTTCATTGATAGGGGTATGGGGAAGGGGAGTAGGACTCGTTCATTGATATGGGGAAGGGGGAGACCGGGCTTGTTCATTGGTAGGGGGTTGGAAATGAGGAGACGGGGCTGATTTATTGGTTGGGATATAGGAATGGGGGAGTAGGGCTGGTTTATTGGTAGAAAGATGGGGAGGCAGGGCTCGTTCATTGGTAGGGGGTTGAGGATGGGGAGTAGGGCTGGTTTATTGGTAGGGGTATGGGGATGGGGAGACAGGGCTGATTCATTGGTAGGGGATGGGGAGACCGGGCTGATTCATTGGTAGGGAGATGGGGAATAAGGCTCGTTCATTGGTATGGGGTTTGGGAATGAAGAGACAGGGCTGATTCATTGGTAGGGAAATGGGGACAGGGCTTGTTCGTTGGTAGGGGTTTGGGGATGGGGAGACCGGGCTTGTTCATTGGTTGGGGTTTGGGAATGAAGAGACAGGGCTGATTCATTGGTAGGGAAATGGGGACAGGGCTTGTTCATTGGTAGGGGTTTGGGGATGGGGAGACCGGGCTTGTTCATTGGTTGGGGTTTGGGAATGAAGAGACAGGGCTGATTCACTGGTAGGGAAATGGGGATGGGGAGTAAGGCTTGTTCATTGGTAGGGGTTTGGGTATGGGCCAACAGGGCTTGTTCATTGGTAGGGGTTTGGAAATGAAGAGACAGGGCTGATTTATTGGTTGGGGATGGGGAGTAGGGCTGGTTTATTGGTAGGGGGATGGAAATGAGGAGACAGGGCTGATTCATTGGCAGGGATAGGGATATGGGGATGGGGAGACATGGCTGGTTCATTAGTGGGGGATGGTGATATAGGGCTGGTTCATTAGTGGGGGATGGTGATATAGGGCTGGTTCATTAGTGGGGGATGGTGATATAGGGCTGGTTCATTAGTGGGGGATGGTGATATAGGGCTGGTTCATTGGTGGGGGATAGGAAGACAGGGCGGGTTCATTGGTAGGGGTTTGTGGATGAGAAGACAGGGCTGATTCATTGGTATGGGGATGAGGATACTAAAATAGGAGAGAAATGTAAATGCTCAGAACTTTCTTGAAGATATTAAGTAACAAACGTTATGGGAGCAGAAATAGCCCATTTCACTATGGACTAAGCTAACAGGTTCATTTTCATCACTCATGGACTACACCCACCTTTCTTTGTGTAAACATTTGGTTGACGTGATGTTGCCCTTTCTTTTTTCTCTTTTGTCTGTCTTTTTTGTTTTCGGAAGCCAGATTTCTCTTTAGGAAGCTGACACTTGATGGTTCAACTGGCACTCCTCACTCAGAAGCAGTACTGGACAGTAATGAAGTAAATATAATTTGTTACTGTACTTAAGTATTTTCGTGTATCTGTACTTTACTATTTCCATTTTGGGCGACTTTTTACTTTCACTCCACTACATTTCAAAGTCGAATATCTTACTTTTTACTTCACTACATTATGTGAAATCTATCGTTCCTTTTGGGTTATGTGTTTATAAAAACGTAACATTTTTCAAAGTCAAAACGAAAGAAGTGTGAAGCGAGCACACCAATCACAGTACAGCGCACACTTCATTTTGAGCTTGTTTTGACCTGTTGGACGTACCTACCCAGTGCAAGCTGGTTCAACATTTTAGGGCCACTGTTTATAAAAAATAAAAATAGTAGACTTCAAGAATAAAGCCATAATATTTAGGGAAAAAAGTTATAACATTTCAAGAATAAAGTTGTAATATTTGGAGGATAAAGTGGACTAACTGTAGGGGGCTGCCATAACGCGTTGGGGTCTCAGTACAGGTGACGGTGAAGACGCAGAGCGCGGCGGAGTTCCACACACTCCTGTCTCCTTGTGGATCGATCATTTTGGTCATTATTCTCACTGTCTGTGAAACGTCATGCTCTCTTTGAATGGCACGGAGATGTAGCCCCGATAGCCGTGTACACGACCCTGCCTGCGATTCTGCTTCAACAAAACAGACAGTTTCTTCCGAGTCCGTCTGGTTGTTTATTCTAAATAAACACAGCTTCCTGCACAGCCGTTTAACTCCACCAACTCCTCAACGCCCCTCATTTAACACGAGGATATTGTGTAATATTGCGACCTTTCCTGGTATTAATGCCACTTTAATGTTGTAATTCTACGACACTTTTTCTCAAAATATTTATATATAATATTTGAAGCAAGTATAACTTCAGGCCATTTACTGTAATAATTAGTGTGATCGCATAAAGCCAACTAATATTCATGCCATTTGTTGTTAACAGGGTGGTGAGTGCTTGGTGGTCAGTTCTAAGAGTAAACCTACAACCCTAAAGGCAGGATCTCCAACATTCTACACCCCAAACACAAGCTAGCACATCTTTCTCCACAGTGATGTATTTTCTTTCTGTAGGTGAAAGTGTATGGGATGAGAACACAACAGGATGTTCATTCTTGTCCAGATTAATTTGAGTGAGCACATCTCCTATCCTGTATTGAGACGCATCAGTAGTAAGATACATAGGGAGATATGAGTCTCATAGTGCAAGCACTACACTATTAGACAAGAGTGACTTCACATAAATAAAGCCTTCTTCAGTGGCAGCAGTCCACTGAATTCAGAATTAGAACCTGACCTTAGTACATCATGTAGTGGTTTGATAACAGTTGCATAGCCAACAATGGATTTGCTAAACCAGGATGTTAGATCTAAGAAAGATGGTAGGGCTGGCATATCTTTAGGGAAAGGCGCATTTGCAATTGCTGAAACCGAATCCATATTCGGATGGACTCCAACTTTGAAAATTTCATGTCCTAAGAAAAAACACTGCTCTGATTTGCTGAAGTTGCTCTTCTCCATGTTTATCTTCAGGCCTACATCTGTCAGATGAGTAA